CCACCTTTGTAGGCCACTTCTCTCTACCACCTTTGTAGGCCACTTCTCTCTACCACCTTTGTAGGCCACTTCATAGGCCACCACCTTTGTCATCACGCATCGCGACCGAGAGGTTGAATTGATGCGGTTGGCTGAACGTAAATATTTAACAACTTATGATGAGGCTGTATCTGTCTCAACGCTCTGACTGAAATGTAGTCACAACCATCCAGTTTCCAAAGTTGCGGGTGATGCCAAAGCCTCGACCATCACGCGACCGGTAGCTCAAGACTTAAGATATTGGCTGGAATCCCGAGAAAAAGCAAGTGAATCAACAATAGTTTTGTGGCGGTCAAATCTTAGCAGAATCCAGACAGACAAGCCTAGGTTTTGACTGTTTTGTATTGGTCGTTATGCACACTACATACCTAGGTAAGGAGCGTCTGCATACTGCCTTTCAAGAGCAAACGAAAGGAGGGGCCTTTCGCCGGCTTCAACGTAATTCCTGAGTCGGTAGTCCATCAGTGTCGTCCATACCGACGTTCGTTTCCTTCAAATTGGCTGCATAATGACTGATGACTGCTTCCTTGCCCTACTATGCTGCCAATTTGAAGGAAACGAACGCTGCAGTACCGCCACCAGTATTCAAAACACTGCTCAGACCCCCAGGAAAGTATCATACCGATCCCAATCTTGGAGCAAACTTCTTCAATACTGCGAATTTGTGGCGGGCGGTGAACTCAATACCCGATGCACGGTCCGGAGATGTCGACGAAGGGTGTCACGACGCTTAAAGCCTCTATGCCTCCCGTTCAGGCTCCACACGCAACCCAGGCTAGGACACGGAAAGCGTTCAATGTGCTGGTCCTGCTTGGCATGGATAGTCTTCAGGTGTCTGGTCAGATCTTTCTGATACTGAAACCTCTTGCTGCATGCAGGTTGCTCGCATACAAAGCGAGGGTCGTGCCGTCTTTGGTGTGTTGTAAGCTGATGCTTCTGTTGGAAGCGTCTCGGGGGATTGCATTTGTGGCAATAGTGGGAACTGTCCTCGGCGGAATGTGGTGTCCCGCTTGAACGAGAGCGTCCAACCTCGTCATTAGACTGGCTATCCGAGGCTGCAGGTATTTGGGCGGACACATTATCATTGTCATGGTGAAGGGGTAGTCCCTTGGGCCATTCATATCGAATGCCGGGATGAGCTTCCGTGGAGTTCTGGAACGTGAATGCACCATCCACAGGAGCCACGGGATCGAGGAATCCTTGTGATTCAGCTTCCGGGTAGTGAATCGACATAGAGAGATCGTCCAATCCCAGAAATTGAGAATAGTCCAGCTCTGGTAGATCCCAGTTGCTGTGCAGAAGGTAGGCTTCATCCGGAAGCCACGAATTAGCAGTATTGAAGAAGTTTGCTCCAAGATTGGGATCGCTATGATCATTAGTGATTAAGTCATAATGCTGATTGATTGTGAGGCGCGCGGGAAGCGGCCGCCTCCCCGCGAGCGGGTAGCTGTATCGACTTCAAGTGGAAGCAGCCTGGTGATGGAGTTTGCTGCAAGATCGAGACCGTGGTCTTCGGTCAGGTAACCACGGAAATAATGATGGTTGATAAGGAGGCGCGTGGGGAGCAGGCGCCCCCCTCCCCCGGTGAGCGGGTAGCTGTATCAACTTCAAGGACGGACGGCCTGGCGGTGTTGTATTGTGTATGATGGAAGGACAGTCTCATGCTCGGGCAAAAGAAAAGGAAGAAGTGAGGAAGGACTTGGATGGGACAGGGTCTAAAAGGGATCCTGGGGTGGCCTACCATCGGGTGGCCTACCATCGGGTGGCCTACCACTGAGTGGCCTACCATCGAATCAGCCTTAGCATTCAGTTTGCCTGCCGGTTGCCTTACCGCCAAATGGTTGGTTGGTTGGTGGTGTGCAAATCAGGTGTTGTAGAGCGGGAAACTCGACTGTTGGTGCCAAGGCGCTTAGCAGATCCTGGTGGTTCCCTCCCCGACGGCATGTGGCTCGGTGGCTGCTCGCCTGCAGCCGCCGCCGCAGTGGCTCCTTCGATAAAGCGAGGGTTTGTTTGAGGCCATGAACATCAACATTCGCAACGTCCTCCTTATTCTCGCAGTCTTCATCCTCCGAACCTAGTTCGACCGTTGAAAGTCTATCCATGTGATACCTGCAGCCTGCGAAAATGCAGCATGGCCAGCCCACCTCCTTCCTACGGCGACACCCCTCCCCTCCAAAGTTACCGCAGGTCCTTTACTGCTCCTTCACGCGCACTCTCCCTACATGAAAGAGCTGGACTGGACAAGTCAGACGCCGATGCTGATCTCCTGTACTCTCACCCCTCTGCGCGCATCATCGCCTTCTCCCCTCCTAGAGAGTCAATTCCCACGCAGAGCAAGGAGACACTCCCCGATGCCGACTACCCTATTGACGCGGTAGAAACCCTGCCATGGCGATCGCGCTCGGAGATTCTGGCTGCCACCGGTCCTATAGTCATAGAGAAGGTCCGTGGCTCGAGCTATTTTCTGAAATCCGCCGACCAGAAGGTCATCCACACCATCATGCGCAACTCACAGTGTTGGTGTGTCGACGGAGAATCCAAATTCGTCTTGCGCATAGGAAAATTCAGGTACTACAGAATTGAGTTGCCCTCAGAGACGGAAGAGGACAAGAAAAAGGTTGAGGAATTAAAAGCGGCCCTGCCGAAAGTACTCCGGTTTGAGAGGACGCCATGTCCCTTCAAGCGTGCATTTCACGTGGATCTCCCAGAGGATGCAATAACGCCTCGAAGGAAGGGAACCTGGAAACGAAGACAACAACCAGAACCAGCAACGCCGAGTACAGACCCACTGCCTGTGGGCAGGACAAAAACTTCACGGGCGTGGAGCTTTCAAGGACAGAACGGCTTAAGGTCCGTCCAGACTTATGGGCGTCGTGGCTCAGATTATGGCTACAGCCCAAGTCCAAGCTCGTCCCGATCACGGCCCGGAGCTGATGGCTACCGATCCTCCACCCCGTCTAGTGTGGCTTCTGGTGAGGACCCTCGCGAGAGAAGACATGATGACGAGTCTAGTGAGGATGGTTCGCAGCACGAGGAAGAGCCCGAGGAGGTCCTTCCCAGGCGAGGGCTTGTTCGAACCACAGTCGATGCTTCGCGTTCCCGGCGATCCTCCATTGTCGAAACTGAACAAGCCGATCCGAACCTATCTGTATCCGAGGTTGAAGCTAGTCGAATAAAAGAGTTGGAGGATGCGTCTCTTGCACAGCCTGCTCATTCTTCACCAGCCGGGGCTGAGACAGAAGCTATTATTGAGATGACGCCAATGTCGGTACAAGCCCAGGAAGCTGATGTGGAAAACATATCGGGCGAGACAAATGCGCCAGAGCCAGCAGAGGAGAACTTGGAAACCGAGGCTCCTCAAGAGAACATCTGCCCAGCTGTGCGTCATGCGGAAGGGCAGCCAGCGGAGCACCATGAGGATGAAAAGGCAGCTTCTGAGATATCAGAAGAAGCGGCCGCAACGTCTACGTCCACTGAGACCGAATCTGAGCCGATTCTCTCCCAGGCTATTGAGCCATCGGCCGACGATGCAGGTGTCGAGACCATGATAGAGCCACCCTCAATAGGCGATATAGGGGACTCCGAAATATCCTCGTCGTTACACCGTGGAGCGGATCTCGACGCTCATGAAGCGGCCGCCGGCGCCCCAAAGGAAGGTACTCTTAGCAGGGTCTCGAGTGTGGATTCCTTTCACACGACTGATTCTCTAGCGCAAGAACCGCTCAGTGAAGATGTCCAGATAATCGATTTTGAACAACGCCCTCAGCCCGAAGGATTTACTCCTTTCTTTCTGAATAGGCATCAGCATCAAAGAGGTCTTTCTGAGCTGACCGTCACGGCCTCCACCGTGGAATCCGAACAAAGTCCTATCAAAAGGCCTTCTACAGGCGACTCAATGGACAAGGTTTCGACTCCAGGTCTCGCGCAATCTTCCATGTCAGATTCGTCCTGGCCGGAGGTTCATACGCCTCCGACGTCGCCGATTAAAGACGGATTGAGACGGCGTTTGCACGCCAAACGATCCTTTTCGCCGCTCCCGCCATCCACCACTCTGTTATCGCCTTCCTCGTCTCAAACAAATTATGGAAGTCCTTTTACTGCCGACTTCCTCCAAAAAGCCGCCAATGTTGCATTCGTCAAACCTATCGAGGCCGTTGTTCTGCTAGTGCATATTCTGGCTCGGATAGCTGGTGGTGCCACCGTGAGTGACTTGCTGAGTGGCGAGTTGTTTCGCCGACCGGAAACCCACCGGCGGAGGACGAGCTTCCCAGACCAGCCTTCAGCGCCAAGGGATGATAGTGAGGAAGAGGACGACTTTGGAGTGCCAATCAGGGGGCGAACGAAAAGTCAAGACCCAGGCATGAAGCCTGCTGCAGCAAACACTGTGGCGACGAAAGAGGACGATGCAGACTCCATCTTTGATCTGGATTAGGTATCCTGCTCGTGATATAGTCTACTGAGACAAGAGTCATCACTTATGCGAGGTCAGTGCATTTAGGTTGTTTACCAGCTTTTAATCAACGGGCGAGGTGTATATTGGAGCATGGCGCTCCTGAACGACCATAGTAACGACTGGGTCCTATGTAAAAAGATCGCGGGAATTTTGTGGAGGGTTCGCTTGTTGCTTGATGATACCACCAGTTTTCACGCTCAATGGCGGAATTTCATTTAATTGTGCTGCTTCAAGATGCGATCTGTATGTGTCCCGTTTGTCTTGCAGCTCTCGTGTCAATCACAGCACATTCTTCCTTTTTTGCAGGCATCTTCGGCATCTTGACAAGCAATGCCATATGGACAAGATAGCTGTCAGTTATAGTCCTGTCCCGGACGTGCTCAAGCACTTTCTCTCACCTCGCCGGGGTAGGCCGGCAAGCAAATCTTGGGTCATGATGTCCCCAGTGCAGCAGACAGGCTTTCAAGTCGGCCTGTATCCCCGTCCACATACTGTATCGAGTATATCCTGGGGCATCGGGTGGGCCTTGACAGAGGGACAGAAGCCAACCAGGCATCGGCGATATCACAGCATAGGACGCTCAACCGCCCATCATCCCCAATCCAAGTCCTCGCCTCATGCTGAAAATCCACCTTCCACGTCGTTCATTAGAGCAGTAGAGACTTTTCCTTTTTTCTTCACGACCCCGAAGCCTTCTCCCCACCACCACCAGCACCACCTTTCCCCTTCTTCTTCGCCTTCGCCTTCTCCTTTGCCTTTTTCTTATCCCTCTTCCTCAACCCCTCCATCCCCTTCTTACACGTCTCTGCATACTTTGTATAAAACGCCTCCAACTCTGCAACTTCGACCACGGTCGCAAACTTGACTTTCTCCTTCTTCGCATCGCCGGACTTGGCTACCTTTTTAGACGCGGTTCGGTGTGGTTTTGAGAGGCCGTTCGAGGCCCGGATCAGGACCTGTGACGATAGTGTGGTTGATTCATCGGCAGTGGGTGTTAAGGGTTTTTGTGTAAGGTAGACGGAGCCGTGGGTTGCGGCGTGCGTGGAGGTGAGGAGGGTGCTGAGGCGGGTGAGGAACTGTGCAATGCAGACAGGTTAGATAGAGCTCGTTGATTCTGACAAGGGATAGATGTTACCTCGTCATTGCTTAGACGTTCCTGCGACATGTTTGTGTTGTTCTGGCGGTCTGTTAAGTGAGTCGCATGTTCATGTCATTGACTTGAATTGTCGTTGGTGGGGAGTCCGCCGTTCGATACACAGAAAAATGCCGCCTAAACTTCGGCTGAACCATCTCCGCATTTTCCAAAAAATTACTGCAAGTACTGGCGCAGTCTACACAGAGTCCTCACTGATTATTTCCAGACGAGAAGCGCAGGGGTCTGCTTTGAGTTCTATCGTCTACAGTCAATGTCGCGACAGGGCTCCCGAACCCGAAATGGCCTGAAGCTGCCATTTGCGCTTGAAAAGGAACTTGGACTCGAGGGCAGATCACGATCAGGCGCTGGAGGCGGGCGAGGCGGGCGGCGACAGCATGGGTCGGTGCAAAGCAGAAAAGAGCAGCGCAAAGCGCAGTGGCAGGAGAAGAGACAGAATATAAGAGGAACAGGAGGAGCCCAGAGGAGATTTCCCGTCACCAAGCAGGGGTTCTCAGATGAAGACTCGGACGAAGACGATGCCGACGATGAACCTGCACTCGCGCCCGTTGTGTCGAAGAGAGATGCTGCGAAAGCAAAGATCAGGGAAGAGGAGCCCATAAAGCTGAAGTCGATCCTCAAAAAGCAAAGAGACCCCTCTCCATCCCCATCACTGTCTGAAAGCTCTCTCCCGTCGCGGTCACGGTCTTCCTCTCCAGGCCTCGTCCTCGACGCCCATTCCCAAGCCTTCAAAGAGCGAGCTGCACAGGATGACGCCGAGGTCGCGGCTCTTGAGAGAAAGCTAGGATTGAAGAAGAGGAAAGTGTCAAAATCTCTCGTGGATGATGGGTTGGACGACTTGCTGGACGGGCTGGACGAAGAGGATCGAGGTGTCAAGAGGAAGAGCGAGAGCCAGGTGTGGTTGGACAGGAAGAGAAGAAAGGCTGATGTTCAAGCTGGTGAAAGCGCTGAGGACGAGTTTGGGCTTGATGACCAGAGTGACGACGACGACGACCTAAATGGAGAACAGGGCGAAAGTGACGATTCATTAGACGAAGATCCGGAGGAGTCCGAAGAGCAGGAGTCTGATGAGGACGCGAGTTTACGAAGTGAGGACTCTTTTGAAGGCTTTGAATCAGATGAAGACCTGTCCGACGTCCAGCCCCAACGGGTCCGAGAAAATCCTTACGTCCCTCCAGTCTCCCAAGCTCCAGCGGGAAAGTACGTCCCGCCGTCACTGAGAAAAGCACAAATTTCCGAAGGTCCTTCGCTCGAAAGACTGAAAAGACAACTTCAAGGCCAGCTCAACAAGCTATCTGAAGCCAACCTCGTATCGATTCTAGGGGAAATGGAGAAAATCTACCAGTCCAACCCCAGACAAGACGTCACATCCGTCCTGATCGACCTCCTGTTGACCCTGTTCTGCAACAAGTCAGCTCTCTCAAACACCTTTGTCATCCTTCACGCCGCATATGCGACGGCAGTGTACAAGGTTATTGGCGTGGATTTTGGCGCGGAACTACTTTCACAGTTAGTCGAGCGACTTGACCAATATCGCAGCGATACCGCGACCGGCAAAGAAGCACTGAACCTGATAAGTCTTCTCTGTCACCTCTTCACATTCCATCTGATCAGCAGCGCGATAATCTTCGACTATATCCGATCATTGCTCGAGAAACTCAGCGAGAACAACACAGAGTTGCTGCTCCGGGTCGTCCGGGACTGCGGTCAACAATTGAGGCAGGATGACCCGTCTTCACTCAAGGACATTATCCAAATCATGCAAAAGGAAGCGGCGCGAATGAACTCGGCGGGAGAACAAATGAGTGTGAGAACAAAATTCATGATCGAGACGATTACCGATCTGAAGAACAACAAGATGAAGACTGCGACGAATAATGCAGGCTTAGCGAGTGAGCACATCACACTGATGCGGAAGGTGCTTGGTTCGTTGAACAACAATCGCACCATCAAAGCTTCTGAGCCACTGCGGATCACAAGGGATGATATCAAGAACAGCGACAAGAAGGGGAAATGGTGGCTAGTTGGAGCTAGCTGGAAAGGTCATGAACCACCACCAGCAGCACCGGCCGAGGGGCGCACCGACAACTCGAACCCGATGACCAACATCGGTCTTGATGATGATGAAGAAGTCGATCTGCTGGCCCTTTCGCGCCATTACGGCATGAACACGGACATCCGTCGTTCGATCTTCGTCGCCCTTCTATCAGCAGTGGACTACCAAGACGCGCATCTACGTCTCCTCAAACTGCGTCTCAAGCGTACCCAAGAGCAGGAGATCCCCAAAGTCCTGCTTCGCTGCAGCGCCGGAGAAAATCCCTACAACCACTATTACACGCTCGTTGCGCGGAAATTGTGTCTGGACAGGAAGATGCGCAAGGCCTTTCAGTTTGCGCTGTGGGATTTCTTTAGGAGGATGGGCGAGCATCCGAATCGTGAAGACGACGAGGACGACGGGGTCAACGAAGAAGACCAGGAAGTGGAAATGACCGAGATCGCCAACCTCGCGAGGTTGTATGCCTATTTGATCCTGGATGGAGCAGAGACTCTCGGCGTCCTGAAAGTACTGGAACTCGCCTATATAAAAGAGAGGACGGCCATGTTTGTGGAGCTCTTGCTCATCATCATCATGACCGAGGCGAAGGACAAACCGGACGCTCTGGTAAAGGTGTTTGAACGCGCAGCCGAAACGCCACAGGTGATCAAGAGATTGCAGTTCTTCATCAAGAAGAACGTGCGGACTTCGGATTTGGTGGGCAAGAAAGACAGGGACGTTGTCAAACGAGGGTGTCAAACTGCGCTGGAGACGTTGAGGAGACTCGAGATGATCAACGAGGAGACGGATGTATAAGATTGACTTGCTTGCAGCACGCGAGTGAGGATGCGCTTGGATGTTCAAACCACCAGTTCGATGCGTTTGGTTGAACAATGAACTTGCTACCACCCTATACCAAAGAACCATCCGTTGCATCTCTTGCCTCTCCGCGTTTGACGATAACGGCTCTATTTAAACCGTTAGCCCTTAGATACGACGAGTGAAGCATATTTCCAATGACAAAAGCAACTTACATCTGAACAACACAGACTCGCGCGCAGGAGCCATGAAACAAGAGCACGCTTCTTCACCCGCAACGCCACGAAGGCCAGGCGAGACAGTGGAAATCCCACTGCACCTCCTCCGCTGGCTCCTTAACGAACTCGACGAATGCGCAAGGGCCATGCACGGCGACAAGGCCAATGTCCTTCAAACCACAGCAGCCACCACCACCACCACCATCAGCGGCATCCCGGACATCATCATAAGCTCCAATGCGAATCCTAGTCTTCTCCACAACCCTCATCTCCAATCGCATAGCGACGACGACGCCGTGCACCTCCCCTCGACAGATTTCCGACCATACTCCGAGATGCCGTCCCCGGGTATCACACTGCCAGGGGACTTCCGGATCTCTCTCTCCGGCGCCGAGGTGCAGAAACTAACAATCTGCGCGCTCACGGCCATGCGCAGCCTCAACGCGCGGCACTACGTGCTCCAAAACCGCTTCAAGACGCTCGAGGTGGAGTTCGCGCGGAAGCAGGAGGCGAGCGAGGAGCTCGTCACGGGCCTGTTGGATGAGAAGGACAGTGTGGGTCGCACGTGGGCGTGGGATGATCCGCACGGGCTCAAGGAGAAGGTTCACGCCAGGATCGACGGGCTTGTGCAGAGGTATTTGAGCGCGGTGAGGGCCGCAGAGGAGGAGGCGGATAGGGAAGGGGAGTCGGGGTTTAATGGGTGGGCTTGACGGAGCGAGTTCGGGTGGGAATAGAGGGTGGTCGTGGACATTGCACTTCAATTTGGTGTCGATGATTTTGAAAACGAAGCATACCTAATTAGGTACATTCAACGCCAGCGATATGATGCATGTTATGCTATACCTGATGCAGGATTGGATAAGCATTACAAAGACAGAAGGGGACGAAATACATGAATTGAAATTCTTTCTTTTCTTTTAACTTGGGAAGGGGCTCTATCATATCGCAATCCCACAATCGATGACGATATTCTGGCCGGTGATAGACTTGCTCATGACCAGCGTCCTGATCTGCTCGGCGACGTCCTCCACGGTGGCTGTCGATTTCAGGGCGGCCTTCTCGACCGTGGCTTTGACTTTTGCCTCGGGGAATTTGTTGCCCCTGTACATATACAGACAGACACAGAAAGTTAGATATGGTGGCCACCGAGACACATCAGACATGTGGTATTGGAGTAACAGAGCCACAAAGCAAGAGATGGAGTGGGGGTGAAATGAGGAGTTGAAACTTACCATTCCGTCATCATAAGTCCCGGACTGACGCTGTTACACCTGACCTTGGAGCCGCAAATCGTGGCCAGGCCCTTTGTCAGATGAATCTCCGCGGCCTTGGTGACACTGTATGGCAGAGAACTGCCAGAAGGACGGACGCCCGCGAGACTGGCGACGGTGACAAAAGCGCCGCCCACGCCCTCCGTATCGGCGGTCTTCTCGAGGTGCGGCTTCGCGGCGTACAGCAACCACAGGTGCGACTTGACGTTGACGTTGAAGCAGCGGTCCCAGTCGTCCTCTCTGATCTGGTCCTCGAGATCGAAGAAGTTCGTGAGCCGCGTCCACCCGGCGTTGGAGACCACGACGTCCAGCCGGCCCATGTGCGCGACGGTCTCGCGTACGAGCCGCTCGATCTCGCTGCGCTGCGACACGTCGGCCTTGATGGCGTGGAAGCGCGGCTGGTCCGCCGGCGCGTGGAACGTGGGCTGGATCGTCGAGGCTTCTTTGATCACTTGGTCGGCCTTTTCCTGTCGGGAGTGGTAGTTCACCACCACACGGAAGTAAGGGGCCAGAGCCTTGACCGTGGCGGCGCCCAGGCCGGCTGACGAGGCTGTGACGAGGGCGACTTTGGCGGACATCTTGGCGGACGGTATGTTCAGGTTGGGAAGAAAGGAGTGATTGAGGAGGATTGAGGTAGTCCCCGTTTTATATCGAGGGTTGTCGTCCAGCCTATCATATAAATGTCTAAGACTGGTGGAGGGCATCCGAGGGGGGCTTCTTACACACGTATTTCTCCGCATTGCACTTGCCCGCCTCCGAAGTCGCGGCGGAACGTTTCCGGCACCAATTCCGTAGGGTTCGTTGGGTATGGAGCTGTCACGTGCCCTAAAGCTGCCGTTGCTTGCGATACTGCAATTGAATACCAGGTACTCGGCCGGGATCAGTGCATGCACAGTTGATCCCCAATTGGAGGACCAATGTTATTGATTGATCCATCAATCAAAAATTAGACAGATAGGAAACAAGTTGGCAACGAGTGCGGCAGTGGTCACGCTCGCTTAACCTGCCTATCTGAACCAGGGCAGACATCTCGCCTAACATTCTCAATTTGGTCAAGGCAACAGGGCTTGGAATCTTTCAGAACGTCCTCTCACTTCTCAGATCAGCCTACCTCTGACAATTTCCTCCAGGCCGATGTTTACATCCTGAAACAGAGTCCCGGACGCACACCCACCCTGAGATGAGTCAACAAGGTGAGTGGATCCAATAAATTCATGGGTGTGAAGATGTTCCACCACGAGCTACGGTCCCACCCCTATCGCCTTCAATGCTACCAAAGGGAGCTTCACAATGGACCACTCGGTACCCCCAGACTGGAGTCGGTCAACCGAGATGGAGGTCTGGTATATTTGATCATCGTCCGTGTTGTGCAACAAATCGAGGAGGACGACTGTGAAATGTCCCTGTCGTTGCAAAAATCCGATCCTGCTCTGTACGAGTGACACCCGTGAGCTGAGTTCAGAAAGATACGGCGAAGGACCAGACGCCACGAGAGTCGAAGCCAGATGTGTCCAAGCTCTTATGTACCTCTTCTCTACACCAAAGGAAGTGCTTGTGTCTGAGGATCCCATTGCAGGCCAGAAGGCAGAGACTTGGCATTCACCAAGGAGGCGGATTGCACTGTTTAAGTATTCCCTCGAACCACTGAGTCCCACTACTCAACTCGAGACGTCAGAGTAGCAATTCCAACCTTGCTACTGCTCATCGACTCAGTCTGGCTTGAGGGTCCAAGTCGTTCTTATGCCATCTTATCTCCAGGGGCATCTCTTTCAATTGTCCAGCCGTGCCAGAGCTTCCCGCAGTAGCTTCACCACGCTTTTACGACCCTCCTTCGCCCTGTCGTTTGGATAACGCATCCCCGAGGCCGCCTTGATCGCTCCCTGCAACGCACTCTTCTCAAATTCAGCATTGATGTTTGCCAGGGTACCCAACAGTAGCTCCACCATCTCGACACGGCCATGCTCCGCTGCGACTAAAAGTGCTTTGTCAAGCTTCTCCCGAGGTAATTCATTCCCCCAAGCATCGAGTAGAATCCTGGCCGCAGCCACTCGATTCGCGGACGATGCTTCAACAAGCGCACCATTGATATCTGCACCGGCATCAACCAGAATCTTCACCACCTTATCAAAGCCACGACCCGATGCCTTCAGTAACGCGCTTTTACCATATTCATCTTGAAGATCGATGTTCGCACCGGCATCAATCAGAATCTTTACCACCTTATCAAAGCCACGACCCGATGCCTTCAGTAACGCGCTTTCACCAT